TAAGGAACAAAAATATGGTGCTTGTTTATCAAAGCAGTACCTTGATTGCTCTGGTTTCCCCATGGGTCTTTGAGGAAAAACTGTTTACTTTTTTTTTTAAGTTTTTATATAAATTCCAGTTAGTTAACATACAACGCAGTGTTAGTTTCAGGTGTAGAATCTGGTGATGCAACACTTCAATACAACACCCTAGACTCATCACAGCAAGTGCCCTCCTTAATCCCCATGTTTACTTTGTTGATATAAAATAGTGTTGTGCTCTAAAATAGTTCACATGACTTCCAAGATCCCTGAAAAGGAGCCATTATTATAAGCACCGGGAAAATATGACTCATGATAATCCTTGGATTAGACTGTTGGACAATTAAAAAAATGTTTCAAACAACTGAGAAAATGCAAACCTTAAGAGAATTCTGGAAATGATGCAAAAATGGGAAGACTTTACAAAAAAAAACCCAAAAATATTGCAGCTGTAACAAGTAACAGGATGTGACAGGGATCTGACACAGCAAGGCAGAGTACAAAAATGACTTGCCTAAAGCTTTAAATTTCATATCATGGCCTTCAAAGGACCCACGTGATTAGTGCTAAGTAGACAAATAATTAAGTGCAGTTTGAAGACTAATGGGAAACTTTCTATTCAACAGTTTTGTTTTGTTTTAGAGAGGGAGAGTGAGCAGGGGTGGGAGGGGCAGAAGGAGAGTGAGAGAATGTCAAGCCGTCTCCATGCCCAGACTGGTGCCCATCTTGAGGCTAGATTGCAGGCCCCTGAGATCATGACCTAAGCCAAAATCAAGAGCCGGACACTTAACTGAGTGAGACACCCAGGTGCCCCTATTCAACAGTCCTTAAGCTTAGAATAACCTGGCAAAACAGGTAACTGATGGTAATACATAGTCCATATTGTCTCAATTCATTTGCAGTCAGAATGGAAAAGGCTCATATCAGGCATAAATGCATAAATATTTTCCTCTTGGGTAAACTGAATTCATATTTTACACCAGATAACTGTATAATGAAATGCCAAGTGTGTATATTTTAAGAACAATGAATTTTATCCATTGACTAGAAGTATTGATTTGCAATTAACACAAATAAAATGCTTACACAATAGAGAGAGAACTTTTCTATTGTGGATCTTACTGAATTTAAAGTCCTTTTGTTCTGCTGGGCATCTTGATAGTTTGGTATGGAAAAAGATGGCCCTGAAGCTGTGTTTTGGGAAGGAGCTAGAGAAAGGCAAATTATTCTGTAAAATCAAGTGGGACAAGTATGGAGTGCCTGGAAGGCAATCTGGGGTGGGGGTGATGTGGAGAGGCAAGGGGGATGAAAGATGGAAAGACAAGCCAGTGAAATGGAGCTAGGCCAGGGTGCTGCATGGGCTAACACACCTGGGGACTGTTACCAGTGATGGGGTGCCCCACAGAGCTCTGTAGGGCATGGATAGCTGATACGGAATTTATAAGTTCTTTACATTTCTGTAAGGTATCCCATCATACTGTTGCCCCAAATCTCCAATCAGTTCATAGACAAAGATCTTGCATGAATGATTTTGTGTCAGTAAGCTGAAGGAGTGACTCCTGAGTTTTGCACTGACATGGCACGGAAGTGAACCAGGCACTGTTGTGTATGAGCTGACGAGGGGATCCCCCAAATGAATCACTCATTGGTAGCAGGAGTCAGAGCCATAGGAATCCTGGGGAGGCTACCTTGGAGACCTGAGGGATGCCTAGGGGTGTTTCAACCAATCCATCTAAATTGGGCTACACTTATGGAGGAAATGAATAGGAGAATTTATGGCTTAAAAAATAAACACTGGAATCCTATCATTGATACAGCATTCATTCATTCAAATGGCATAAAACATGGAAGTGGACCCATCATCTAGTTCCACAAAGTCACATGAATCGCCATGACATGATTAAATGAAAACAAAACAAAACAAAACACAAACCCAGGATCCACAACTGTTTATAGCATGAGCTAATGAAAACTATTTACTTGTACATCTTGAAGAAGACCAGAAGGATCTCTTCCAGATTTTTGATAATTTTAATAGTGATTATATATTGGGGATGGAATTTTATTTTTTTAATTTTTTTAATGTTTATTTTTATTTTTGAGAGAGAGCAAGCAGAAGCAGGAGAGGGCAGAGAGTGAGGGAGACAGAAGCAGGCTCTGGGCTCTGAGCTGTTAGCACAGAGCCCGATGCGGGGCTCAAACCCATGAACTGTGGGATCATGACTTGAGCTGAAGTCAGAAGCTTAACCAACTGAGCCACCCAGGGGCCCCTGGATTTTTTTTTTTTTAATTTTTGTATTTTTTCAAAACTTCATTAACTGAACATGTTTTAATTTTATAATCAGAAAAAACCTGAAAATAAACCTGACATTTTAGAAACCATATTATAGGTTAAAATTTTTTTTTTAAGTTTGTTTATTTTGAGAGGGATAGAGACAGCACAAGTCAGGGAGGGGCAGAGAGAGAGAGAGGGAGAGAGAGAAAAATCTCTTGGAGACCCAACCAGGGCTCAAACCCACAGAAGCCACAAGGTTATGATGTGAGCCGAAACTCAGAATTGAGCCACACAGGCGCCTTATTATAAGTTAAAATTTGTTCCTGCTGCATTGAGTAAATGGAAAAAAATCTCTATTCTTTAAAAATAGAAGAAAAAGTACAGTTATTACATGTGAAGAAAGTAGCTTTATATTCATTATTTATGTATATATGTAGGTATTTATTTCATGTTTAAAGTTTGTGGCTTTATTCCATTTTTAAAAAGACTATGTCAGAGATCAGGCTATTATATTACAGGGAAACTACAGGGATTAATAAGGAGTCCATTTACATGTGATTGCCAATTAACAAACAAAAATCTCGGCTTTGGAGGACAGGAGTTCTAAAAATGAGAGCAAGATGGTCTTCAGGATCTTTCCAGCAAGCATCAAAAACATAGTTATGCTGGTGGCAGTGAAAACCTGGCTTACTTAAATTTTGAGCTATGAGGAAGCTGAGCAAGAGTTGAGATTTGGGAGGGTCTAAATTCCATGGAAGGCAGAAAATGTTTCACGGGGTAAAAAAGACAATCTGTAGCGTGGATGCCTGATTCCACCCTGGAGCAGGGGCATTTTTAAAGAAGACTTATAACTCATGGGTTTGTACAGATACTAGGAAGGGCATAGCTTAATTTACATGTGAGAGCTCAATATGATCTACAAACCTCTAAAGAAGAGGCGGGGGAGGGGAAGCAAATGGCCCTGGAAATGTCTGATGAATATTTTCCCCACCTGAATCTGGAGCACTGCCAAGTCGGCATCCAGGGCCTTCTTGGTTGGCAGCAATTTCTGGGTCACGTGAATCTGTCTTTGCTTCTCGGCAATCTTCAGTTTCAGGAATCGGATCTTTTCTTCCAGGACATGTATTTCAATTTCTCCATTTAGCTTCATCTTTTCTTGGATGTTTATTTTTTCATAGAAGATGCACACTTCCTCTTCCCGTTCTATCAGCTGAATGCCACTATGGCCAAAAGGAGAGGCAGAGGAGGCTAAGAGGACGTTGAGGTCACTTAGTCATGGTGGTTCCCCCTGGATGTGGGCACCAAATACACATCGACATTATATAATTCCAGAAGGCAAAAGATATTCACTGTTGGCTTTCTAGTTAAACTCCACACTTTTAATTTTCCTGGGGATGGGAAAGGGAGGACTGTTTAGCATCTTGACTCTGAGCTAACCGTGCAGTTGGCTGGTCACGGTATCTCTGCAAATCCCAAAGGTTTTCCTGGGGTGGGAAACAATGTCATTCCCCATGCATGAACAAAGTAATCTCATAATCTGATTTTCTGCAGACCCTTTTCTTGGGCCAGACTTGCCAACTGAGCTCTGGGCCAGAAGTACCCAGGCAGGGGGCCAGCGAATGTGTTTCTGCAGCAATTCTGTGTAACTTGCCAGGCCTATTAGGTTCTTTGAAAGTTGAATATTTCTGATGCAAATTGCCCCATAAATAGGCAAAGTCCTGTCCTTTGTAATCATGCCAGGGGAAAGACCCCTCCATGTGAGGAGAATGTGGGAAAGAAACAAAGTAAGAATTTTCTAATTCCAGCCCTACAGGTCTGATCAGGGCCTGGGAACACACTGCCTAACTACTTTGTTTTGTGCCAGGAGCCAAATAAGAGGACTTCTTTTTTCTTTCTTTTTTCCCAGAGAAAACACCTGCCAGCTGTTTGAAAAAGTAGTGTTCTTCACACCCTGAAGTTCTTCCCACACTCTGCATATCCATTATCCCAGAGTTCATCTTTAATTGCCTTTATCTCTGTCTCTCTCCCCTCCCTTAAAACATGTATACACATCGTTGTATTTGCTTAATCTTAGCTCTTTGTTTTGTCTCATTTGCCATTCATTGGCTCCTCAGGATCCTCTTACTTCTCTTGACACAAGAAGCCAGGAGCAATGCCATACCACCTGTTTGTACTTTCAGGGTCTAGCACTTAGCACATAACTTCACATGGAGCAGCCCACAATCAAGCCACAATGAACAGAAGATCTGATACCAGATGTAATTACTACAGGGCTCTACAATCTCACATACCACATTTCTCTAGCACAAGCACAGTTACAGTAGCAATTGATTAATGACATAATTGTAGTCTGGAAGAAATAATGCTGTTCTGAAACGTCTTACTTGCTGAGAAAATGAGCTGGGAAAATGGCTTAATAAATTTCCTACTAAGACCAAGCCTGTCACAAAAGTGGATACGAGATCCAAAGACTTACTTATGTCAATTATACTGAAATAACTTGATGGTATCCTGAATGGTAGCCTGGGAAAGAACTTTGATCTTTAAGCGGGCAACTTCTCAAATCCTAGTCTTGCCTGTCTCGCTTACAAGAACAGAGTTTCTTATTTTCAGGCAAAACACACAGCTGACCCCCTACCCTGCCCCCACAAAAGGCTAATGAAACCTGAATGTCACATGCCCCTCACTACCCACTGTCAAATCCAGATAGAAAAAGGGGCAATATTTTTTTTTAAGCATTTTTTGTTTATTTTTATTTTTGAGAGAGAGCGCAAGTGGGGAAAGGGTAGAGGGAGTAGGGGACAGAGGGTCTGTAGTGGGCTCAGTGCTGACAGCGGCGAGCCCCGTGTGGGGCTCGAACTCACAAACCAGAACCGTGAAATCATGACCCAAGCTCAAGCCAGTCAACCGACTGAACCACCCAGGTGCCCCCAAAAGGGGCAACATTTCTAAGTAGGATCTCTGGGTGTTTCGTTTTTCTCACTAGGTTCCTGGTTTTTACCTTTCATTTCGATGCTGAATGGCTTTTTCGTATCTCTTGCGAAGTTGCACCATCTCCTCTTCAATCACTGTGATCATATTGGCAAGTCTGTCGATGTTATTTAACTGGACTTCCTTCTTCTCCTTCATTGCCTGAAGTTTTGCTACGATTTTGCACACGTCATTTTGCATGCTTTCTCTGATGGTAACATTGTTGGCAAGTTTCAGCATGGAATTTTGTAACTTTCTTTAAAAACAATGGGAAAATGGGTGAGATCATAATTTTCTTTACTTTAAAAACAATGAAGACTTCTGAAACTAGTAACATAGCTCTTGCTTTCAGTATGTCCATTGAAACGACAATAGTGGTACCGTAGTCCCCCCCCTATCCACCGTCTGGCTTTCTGCAGCTTCATTTACCCGCGGTCATCCGTGGTCCGGAAGTAAATGATCCTCCTTCTGACTCTTCAGGAGGTCAATAGCGGCCTAACGCTACGTCGCAACGTCTGCGTCATTCGCCTCGCGTCACGTCATCAGACAGGCGTTTTGTCACCTCACGTCCTCACGAGAAGGGTGAGTACAGTACAATAACAATAACAGAGGGAGAGAGACCACATTTACATAATTTATTACAGTACAGCCGACGCTTGAACAAAACCGGTTTGAACTGCATGGGTCCACTTATACGTGATTTAAAAAAAAAAAATACAGCACAGTACTGTAAATGTATTTTCTCTTTTTTATGATTTAAAAAACAATTTTTTTTAACGTTTCTTTTTGAGAGACAGAAAGAGAGCATGAGTGGGGGAGGGCAGAGAGAGAAGGAGACACAGAATCCGAAGCAGGCTCCAGGCTCTGAGCTGTCAGCACAGAGCCCGAAGGGGGCTGGAAACCCCCTCTCCCCCAAATCATGACTTGAGCCGAAGTCAGACGCTTAACGACTGAGCCACCCAGGTGCCCCTTTTTTATGATTTTCTTAACATTTTCTTTTCTCCAGCTTACCTTATTGTAAGAATACAGTATGTAATACATGTTCCATACATAATATTTGTTAATCAAATGTTACTGGTAAGGTGTCCAGTCAACAGTAGGCTCTTAGTGGTTAAGTTATATGCAGATTTTCAACTGTGCAGGGGGTGCCCCCCCCAACCTGTGTTGTTCAAGGGTCAACTGTATATTGCTACAATTGTTCTATTTTATTAGTAATTATATTCATCTCTTACTGTGCCTAATTTATAAGTTAAACTTTATCAAAGGCATGTAAATATAGGAAAAAAACACAAAATATATAGGGTTCAGTACTATCTGTAGTTTCAGACCTCCACTGGGGGTTTGGAATGTATCCTTCAAGGATAAGGGGGAACTACTCTGGTAGTAATAATGTTTACTACTATAATTATTATTACTGTAGTAATAATGATATTCATTATATGATACTCTTCAGGAGTTTCTATAGTTCCTCCCTCCTACCTTGGATTAGGACATCTTTTCTTTTGTGCCCCAAGCCTCTGCTGCCCCACTTTGCCAAATCAAAAGACTAAAGGAATTCATTTAATGCTCTGTTGAGTCTAGAAAGCTATCTTTTTTATTTTTTAATATGAAATTTATTGTCAAATTGGTTTCCATACAACACCCAGTGCTCATTCCAACAGGTGCCCTCCTCAGTACCCATCACCCACCCCCCCATCAACCCTCAGTTTATTCTCAGTTTTTAAGAGTCTCTTATGGTTTGGCTCCCTCCCTCTCTAGCCTTTTTTTTTTTTTCCTTCCCCTCCCCCACGGTCTTCTGTTAAGTTTCTCAGGATCCATGTAAGAGTGAAAACATATGGTATCTATCTTTCTCTGTATGACTTACTTCACTTAGCATAACACTCTCCAGTTCCATCCACGTTGCTGCAAAAGCCAAATTATGGAGAAAGCTATCTGTCTTAATCACTCCACTATACTGCCTTCTCCAAGCACATTAGATGTTTCAAATCTATAACCAGGGAATGCTGGTTGATGAACATTTGATTGTCTTCCAAATTTGAATGCAAATGATCAAATTTGTGTTTTTCTTTCTAATTTGGTAAATGAAAATAAATAGTGTAAACATAGTGTTTTATTCACTTAAAAATATGGCTATCAGACAGTAGAAGCATAACGAATCACATTCAGATGCTTAGACTGTCATCTGTAAAGTATCTTTGAGCAAGGGCTCTTACAGCTTTGTAAGACTATTATCTTCTACTTTTTACTTTATTCTACTTTATTATCTACTTTATTATCCACAGGGTATTTTAGAGTTCAATGAATCAGAAGAGAAACTTTTGAAAAGACAATAGTTATTATTACACTTACCTTTCTTGAGTAACTGCACTATTTCTTAAAATTTCCAGTTCATTTAATGACATTTTATGCCTTTCTTTTATTTCATTTACTTTCTGGTGAGCTTTGTGAAGTAAGTTAACAAATTTGTTTCTCTCATTTCGAACAGTGTCATACAGTTTAGCAAACTCTCTGAGTCTGTGGAAACACAAGTGTTTTTGAAACTCATGAAATAAAATTCATTTTTTGCCTGCCTAACAAGATAAATCGTCATGTAATTCTTTTACCTCCGATGAATTTCACGTTTTTTCTTCTTGTGTATCCTGATTTCAAGATCCTTTGCTTTGATCTCCTTAACAATATTGGTATATTTTTGCTGAAATATGAAAATTGTGTGTGAAATTAAGAAAAAAAAAGCTCAGCACCACTAACATGAATACTCCCAGCTGCACCTGATCTCATTCCTGTCCATTAAGGAGAATTCTATCTTAGCCAGCTGGGTTGTGCAGTTTGGGGTAGGGGTAGGGGAACTGTAAGGAAGAGATCTGAAAATTGCCTGGCCAGCTGAACTGAATTAATTAAGGACAAGAAAGAAGGAGAGAAGAGAGAAAGAAAAAAGCCTATAGGAGTTGTCTTTGAGGAAAAGTTTGGGAAACTTTTTTTTTTTTTTTAATTTTTTTTTCAACGTTTTTTATTTATTTTTGGGACAGAGAGAGACAGAGCATGAACGGGGGAGGGGCAGAGAAAGAGGGAGACACAGAATCGGAAACAGGCTCCAGGCTCCGAGCCATCAGCCCAGAGCCTGACGCAGGGCTCGAACTCACGGACCGCGAGATCGTGACCTGGCTGAAGTCGGACGCTTAACCGACTGCGCCACCCAGGCGCCCCTGGGAAACTTTTAAGAGAGTGCAGGAGTGAGTATGGACGTCACAGCCAGGCTGGTAAGTGAAGAGTTTGTGGAAGATAGTTGAAGGAAGATGATTTGTAGTCAGTTTTGACACATGTTAGAAATGGAACCCCCTGTGGTATTTTGTGAGAAACAGAAGCCATGATTTTCAGGCGCTTTTCCGAGGAGATTGCCACCCCGTGTCAATGCTTGCTCAGAATGAAGGTTGCCCTCAGAAACAGCCAACATCTGGGTCACATGGTAAATTCAGGTATTCTCTTTTTGTAATGTGTCATATCATATTCGTTTTTAACAGGGAACCTCTGAACATAATCCCTTTGTGGAATACAGTGATTGTCATGTTAGAGTGTTAGCTAGCATCACAGGAGAGTTGTTTTTGTCATTGGTTTCATTGCTCTTTTGTTGGCGATGTTGCACTGGGTCAGCTCTGCTAGTTTGTTGGGAGCCCAGGAAAGTCATGGGGTGGAGTAGTAACTAAGGGAGTCCTCGCATTGGTTTAAACAACGCTGACTTGGTGAACCTGGGAGGCACGGGTGGGGGGGTGGGGAGCAGTTTAATGCTACCGCTGTTGACTTGATCTTGGACACATCTCACCATGTGAGATGGTGGGGAATCACAGAGATCTGCCCACTATGTCAGCCCTGTCCCCCGGAGGCACCCACCTTTTTCTTACTGAAATCGTCATGTGCTCGAATCCTCTGCTCATTGCCACTGACGCAGTTCATTTTTCCTCTAGATTGCTGACTACTGCTTATTAAATCCTGAAACTATTTTTCAGTACGTGATTGAGTCTTGTTTGGGGAAACTCTATAGTCAAACTCAAGGAGACAATTACAGCTTTCTAATGAACAGTATGTGAAATTGAGGTTATCCTGAATTTGTATAGTAATTAATGGATGGTTACAAAAATGCAATTACCTGAGCTTTCAGGAAATCCTTGGATTTTTGCTCCTTCTCATCAATTTTGATTTGAGTCATACGGACAAGGTTGAAGGCAAGTTCTCGCATGTTTTCCTGCTCCTTTAAAAGCTTGTTTTCTTCTGCAAGTTGCTGTTCCACTAACTTGGACTCAGCTTCTGATAGGATTTTCTTTTGAAAAACACCATATATTATAACTTATTTGTTTGAAGAAACACACTAGGGCCAGTATCTTAACATTTTTTTAATTTCCTATGTAGAAGTTAGTTTGCTAGAACATAAAACAAAGTAACTTGACTGCTTTAGCTCCAAGTATTTTATCTTAGGAAAGAATGTGCAAGTATTAGCATTTTAATGTGATAGAAGTTTTTCTTAATCAGACTTTGTTTTCAAGTAACTTGAAGAAAAAGAAGAGACATAAAATCATGTTTTAAAATACTTTAACAGTGGCTTGAATAAACAAAATTTGAAAATTTTAAATTAGACATTGGTGAAATAAAACATTTATTGCTTATTTTTAATCCAATTATATAATCAGTAGCCCTTTTATTTTAAAATCTCATGAATTTGTATAATTTTGTTTGTTCAAATACATCCTTTTTCTCCTATTTAACGTGGGGTTCAAGTAGACCCTGAGATGAAGAAACAGACCCACATTAAATAGGATCATACTATATTTGATGACTCTCCTATTGATGAAGTTTTGTGGAGCACAGTTAAAAATACCACAACTTCATATTAATCACCCTTAGATAGAAGCTTAGATAAGAGTCGATATTGACCTGTTGAGCCAAATTCCTCTTAGCCACTTCAACTTCCTTGTGGAGTTCTCTCCTTCTCTCAGATAATGTAGAATCATCTTTAGGGATAGCTTCAATCTGGAAATAAAAATTTAAAACCACTATTTACACAAGAAAGAAATCTTCAATGTCATGTAGTCAACTCCACTGTGTACCTTTTGCAAATGGTGGGCAAATTATTATGCTGAATATTCTTTATGAAGTCATGGTAAACTAAAATATGAAAACCTGCCAAAAATCTATAATTCACAAATTGCAAATATTTCACCTTCATTTGGAAATAAATCTTGCTAATAATAGCTGCTAACAATTATAGAGCATTGACAATGTGTCAGGAGAGGTTCTAAGTGCTTATGTGTATGGTCATATTTAATCCTCACAATAAACCCTATGAGGTAGATAATATTATTCTCTCTAATTGTACAGATGAAGAGAAGGAGGAACAAAGACATTTAAGCAACTTGCCTCAGTGATACAGGTGCAAACCCAGGAGGATAGGCTCAGAGTCCATGAATCTAACATTGTATTTTACTGCTTCACTAACTCACAACTCAGCACTTTGGAAACAGGCATGTTCAAATGATATTTATCATACTTATAAAATATAAATGTGTTTATGAAATCTTATAGATTAAAAAAATTGGAGCCATTTAGGGACACCTGGGTGTCTCAGTCGGTTAAGTGTACGACTTTTGATTTTAGCTCAGGTCCCAATCTTGTGGTTTGTGGGATCGAGCCCCACATTAGGCTCTGTGCTGACAGTGTGGAGCCTGCTTGGGATTTTCTCTCTCCCTCTCTTTCTGTTCCTCCCCTGCTCGTGCACATGCACTGTCTCTCTAAATAAATTAACTTAAAAGAAAATAGGAACCATTTATTAATCTAGTAAGAATACTTGGCTACTCAATATGTAGTAATTTGATGAGTAGCTGGAAAAAAGTTCTTACCCAAAAGAAAAGCCTCTTACATTTTTTTGTTGATACCTGAAATTCCACCATTACATTTCTATTATATTGGCTTGTGCTTTTGTCTTCTGCTAAAGAATTTCAGGAGAAAGTAACATTTCATTCTATCAGTTTTTGCTGTCTTTTAGGAATGAAATTGTCAGATTCTTTATGATGGAGAAGAAAGCAGAGAGGAGGAGGGGGGACACACAACAGCTTCTGGGGAAACACCCTCCAAAGACAGGAAGGGTTATCTTCGGGTGCTGACAGCATACTTGAGTTAGAGCAGGTTTAGAGTCAGACTTTTATACCAAAAGCACATGACTCCAACTTGATAGTTTATTTCCTATGTGACAGCTCACACTTCTAGGCACTAAGGTGGAATATTGGCTAAAATCTGTACCAAGAGGGAAAGATCGTGCTGTTTAGTGATTTAACAGTGTCTTTCTGAGATTTGTGTTGCTCTCTTAAAATAACTAAGTCTTTGGATGTCCCCAAATCCATGAACTTGTGTATCTTCAGTAGCACCTTCTGTACCCCCCAATGCCCAAGATGTCCTGCTTCCATCCTACCATGGAGAGCTAGCTACTGAGGAGCACACCCTGGGTTAGAAAGACGAGACATGGTCTTGTGAAATCCATATAACAATACACAGAATTTGTGATTTTGAGGAGCAGGTAAATGCTATATCAGGTCAGGAAAGGGACAGCTCAAAGTAGACTTGAATAATCAGGGAAGATTTTATGAACGAGTTAAGAAGTCAGATGGCAAGAGTCTGATTTCTCCTTCTGGAAAGTAAAGTTCTTTCTTTCGGAGGAAGGCCAGCAAGTGTCCCAGTTCTTGTGTACTTCTCTGCCACAGGTGCCCAGAAGCAGGCTACTCCAAATGCTTGGCTCCCAAGTGTAGACAAATCTGTGTATGAATGCTAGCTGGGATGAAGAAACCTTACAAGGTCTTTTCAGAAGATATGATGAGGGCACACTCACTAGCTTCTCTTGTCAATTAAAGCCCCTAATGAACTTTCCTGGTTTCAGGTCTCAGACATTTAGGTTACAAATGTCTGAGTGTTTTGAATTACAAACAATACTGCAATGAATTGTATTTATTTTTGGATTCTGGCTAGCTGCTTCTCTGATACTTTTCTTAAGTCTCCATAAACCTAACCCTCAAGTTTGAGACAGGAATTAAGGATGCTTGGTTTGTGGGAGAAGTATCAAAGTGGGCCATTGGTAGCTTAGCCAATATCCACCCTCTTCTTTGACCTTACTAATAAAACCCCAGTTTTGTTCATAGCTGCAATGTATCCTGGATTCCTTAGACTCTTTTGTAGCTGTGGGTGACCAGGATATGCCAGTGAAATGTAAATGGAAGTCTGCTGGATGGGACCCCTGGGACAGTGATTGTTTTCCTGCTAAAAAACACCACCTCAACCAAGCAAGCTGCCATATGCCTTTTATTCTCTGCCCTTCCCCATGTTCGTTTGATCTTATGCCTAAAGGTGGAATGGCTGTCTTGTGACCTTCAAAACAAAATATACACATTAAGGGTGACAGAAAAAAGAGCTAAGAGGATCTTGGGCCTACCTCTGGACTTTTTATTATGTGAATAAAACAATCCCTTATTTAGTTAAGTCACTATAATTGAGTTTCTGTTACTTCTGGCAGCCAAATTGATTCTAGCTATATTCTAGTTATGTACTAATACTGGGGTGACGAGATATTTACCACTACATTTGAGCCTCAGATTGCATATATCAGCAGGTTTTGTAAGCTTATTTATTTTAGTTCTATGTTTGGGTTTTTATAGAGTAGCATTTCACACTTAGAAAAAAAATGTGTTCATTGTAACCAAACAAAACAAAGTGTTTAAAGTAAGAAATTAAACACCTGCTCCCTACTTTTCCTTCAAATACTACTCCCCACAAGTCATGGTTAATAGTTTAGTGTCTGTTCTTCCAGACATTTTCAGTGCATGAACAAACATCAGTAACCTTCATAAAAGTTAAGAAGTTAGACATGATTCTGTTGCAGTAAACATCCCAATTATTTGATATCAAAAGAACCTCAGTTTCTTTAAAGATTTGATATTTTCCTAAAATATTTCAAACTTTCACCAGGTTTGTGACTTGAATTTCTGGAACCTCTACAGTCAAAAGCAATAGGAGAATCAAACAACTCTCTCTAGGGGGAAAATGAAGTCTGAAGAGTAGCGGGAACTCTTCATACTTACCTTTTATCTCCTTCCTTTTTGGACTGTGTGCAAGGCTAAAATGTTCACTCAGTCTGGGAGTGACTATTTTCAAGTGCTGCCAGCCAGCGTAGGACTGTGGCCAGGCTAATTATAAACCATGAGGTCAAAGAGGAACATAGTCTCTCATGGAAACAAACTGCGCTAGGGCAAAACCAGATTTTTCTCAAAACCAATGAAGGAAGAAGATTTTATTTTATTTTTTAATGTTTATATATTTTTAAGAGAGAAAGAGAGAGACCAAGTGAGAGCAACAGAGGGGCAGAGAGAGAGGAAGACACAGAATCCAAAGCATGCTCCAGGCTCTGAGCTGTCAGCACAGAGCCCAACGTGGGGCTCGAACTCAGGGACCATGAGATTGTGTACCGAGCCGAAGTCGGACACTTAACCTACTGAGCCACCCAGGCGCCCCAAGAGGATTTTAAAATACGTTTTCATTTCTGTTCATTTTATATTCAGTGGGTGCTATTTTGTGAATTTAATAGCTAGAGGTGTCCTACTGTAAAAAGCTTTTATTTATTAAAATATGAACAATGTGTGAGCATTCTATTGCAATCTCCCCTTTGGTCAAGGCCATTCCTTATATATATTTGTGTCCAGCCAGATTAACCTGTAGTGGCAAGCCTTATCATCAGAAATAGCTCCCAACTAGCTTTATTGTGCCTTACTCTTAAATATAAGGAGATAGCACAGGGTCTGTGTTTGCCCGAAGTTCCAACTTAACCATCATAATGTGCTAGGACCTGGCCTAAGATGGAATAGCTTGTAGTAGACCAATGCTCCTAACAAGAATAACTTGAAAAGTTGGATTAAAAAAATATGTTTGAAGGTGTAAGAGTTGCAAAGGCAAACAGAGTTAAAGTCTTCAAAGGTTCTACCTAGCACTGTCTGGAAAGTAGCAAATTATTACTTTATATGGACTCTAATTAAAATCAAGGATGAATGTTGTAACCTTTAGGCTAATGGATGGGAAGAGAATGCAGAACTAACTAAAGCATATCTAAAATGGGGGAAATAGGACAATTGAAAGTAGAAGTAGAACAGCTCATTTTTTTTTTTTGATTCATCCAAAAGAAAGATATATAGGAGGGAAAATGGAACATAAAAGAAATGGGACAAAGAGAAAGCAATAGTAATATGGTGGGCAAAAGCCCAAGTAGATCCATACTTACATGAAATGTTTTTGGACTGAATACAAGAACTAAAAGGTAAAAGTTTTCAGACCAGATATTAAAAAGTATGTGCTGCATATAAAGGACATCTAAGTAAGGACACAGAAAGAGTAAGAGTAAATGGATGGAAAAGGAAATAACAGGCAAAATCTAACCAAAAAAAGCTATTATAACTTATAACGTCCTAATATCAAAGGCAAAAAGCATTTCTAAAGAGATTTCACAGTGATAAAAAGAATTAATCTACTTGCTAGAACTGTAATAAAAATATTAGAAGTATATGAGAAACAATAAAAAAATTAAACAATTTAAAAAAAAGTATATGAGAAACATAAATAACTGTTCTCTTTGTTTTGCAAAAGTGTAAAAAGCATATTTTGCCCCACTGAGATAGGGAAAAAAAAAAAAGGTTCGTGAATGCCATTTGTAACACTCCTCCTAACCCTAACCAGTTTTGTCCACACCTTGCTAAAGATTAGCGTTTCAGTCAGAATAAGTTAGGTTATGCTACAGAAATAAACAACCCCCAACTATCATGGCTCCAAACCATGAAGTCTTATTTTTTGCTCTGACAAAGCCTATGGACAGTCAAGATGATTGTTCAAGACCACAATTTTTAAAAAAAAAATTTTAATGTTTATTTTTGAGAGAGAGAGAGAGAGACAGAGCATGAGCAGGGAAGGGGCGGAGAGAGAGAGAGAGAGAGAGAGAGAGAGAGTCACAGAACCCAAAGGAGGCTCCAGGCTCCGAGCTGCCAGCACAGAGCCCAATGTGGGGCTCAAACCCAACTGCAAGATCATGACCTGAGCTGAAGTCGGACGCTTAACTGACTGAGCCACCCAGGCACCTGAGTCCAAGACCACTATTGGCTGAGCCTTTGGACTGCTTCCATTTTACAGCACTTATGTATCATCATGTACTTCCACAACTGCTGTAGGAGAGGAAAAAAGCTAGAGGGTCTCACACGGGCAATCAGATATTCCGGGCTGGAAGTGACATGTGTCCCTTCCATCCACAATCTATTGGCCAGAACTAGTCATGTGACTCTGTGCAACTGCAGGGAAGTATACACTTCCCACATGCCCAGAAGGAGAGGAGAATTAGGTATAGCTTAGGATCAGTAGTGTCTAGCAGAGTTGGAAACTCCTGTTTAAATTTCTGAGGTCATGAACCTCCTTATGGTCACAGAGCATGAAAATACTGAAAAGAATGGGTATGGTTTTTATACACCCGGCTGCTTCACCTCAGAGACTGCTCTCTTTTCCACCAAAGGATGCATCCTGCTCAAGGACCTACTGCCTTTCAGAAGTGCTTGTTCAATTAGTAGAGGCTGCTGATGGAGGAGAGTGCAGAGGCAACAAGACCAAACACCCTCACTTGGGAGCACAGAGATAGTGAGAAGATACCAGCTATCCTGAGCATCCTCTGACTGGAGTACATCATTGGTACTGCTCAGAAGTACCCAGGTAGCCTGCCACTGGGTTCTGTTGGACCCTGGCTAGTTGGAGGTGCAGGCTGACTGACAAACTTTGATCTAGTCCCTGACTATTGCAGTCTGCAGTGACACCACGCTGGATCTGACTCTTTCAACTGGTATAGACAGTGGTCCACTTGGTCCTACTCTGTAGTGAAGCCTTGAGCTCTTCCAGACCTGGATGGCCTCACTGCTTCCCCTGGCCAAGCTGATGCCTGATTCAAATAAGACACGTCTCTAACCTTGGGTTAGCAAAAAGAGATCGAAAAACGTTAAGACAGAGCCTCTATGATAGGTTTGATGCAGTTTTAAAATTAGCATTCTCTGTTTTCCATTTTTTTATTGGTAGCAAAAACAACTTTTTAAGATATCTTTACTTCAAAAAGATGGCACGGATCTTGAAAAATCAAAAAGTGGTGCACAGCACCCACCTCTAATAGAAGCCTTTGATGCAGTGCTTGAGTTTGAGTGAGTGCATCGCAGGACACTTTCAACAGTAGCTCCATCTTTCTTAAATTTCGAAAATCTCGTTCTTTTTCTCTTTGCTTACGAGAAAGTTCATCATGGTAGTTCTGCTTGTCAATGAGACAGTTTCGTAAATTGAGATCCAAGATTCCTCTGTTCCAGGAAAAGAGAGAAAATGAAAGTGATTTGTCATCAACTGCCCTTCATGCTTCTCAAGACAGCATACTCAGCATATTCATACAGAACTATCCTCGTATGAGAATCCAACGTTAAATCATGCTAAAAGCAACTTTATTTGTAAGTTGGTATCATTTAGAGTCCCAGGCTAATTAAAAAAAACCCAAATGGAGGGAACCCGGGTGGCACCCCACTAAGCGTCTGACTTCAACTCAGGTCATGATCTCATGGTTCGGGAGTTCGAGCCCCGACAGCTTCGGGCTCTGTGCTGACAGCTCAGAGACTGGAGCCTGCTTCGGATTCTGTCTCCCTCTCTCTCTGCCCCTGCCCCACTCACTCTCTCTCAAAAATAAATAAACATAAAAATATTTTTAAAAATAGCAGCTCAGCAGAGACAGAGGTTCCCAGTTTCCCTAAAATTTTATTTACAAATAGGAATTAACACCTTCCCAAGGAATTGCGTGGACCACAAAATTATTCCCATTAGGAAAAAGTCATGATTACCTGAGGAATACCATTCATATGTAGGAAAGATCCCACAACTATAGCATACTGCAGTGATATACTTTTCAGAGGCACATTTCAAAAACTTACAATAATATAAACATTGTGTCCTTGAGATTTGGTCACAAGAAATTGAGGAAAATGATGAGTAAACAATGGGGAAAAATACTGGGAAATACTTTATTTTTTAATAAAGGTAAAAATCTATTCAAAATTCTATAAACTGTTTATTGAATCAACATAAATGTGTTTGAGATTATGTTTTGAATCCTTAAGTAGAAACTGAAGACAAGTTTAGATGACAGACACACATAAATATAACCTTTCAGTCAGTGAAGTTGCTTCATTCTCTCTGGTCAATTCCGACAGCTTGACCAATTGGTTATATTCTCGTTCTTTTATTTCAAGTAAGGCTCGTTTGCCTTCAACTTCCTTTATTACATCCTCCTTCTCTTCCATTATGGAATTAATTTTGGTTTCAACTTTCTTTAGGAAGTCATTTAGCTCTTCAAGTTCATATTCTAAGACAATTTTTTTCTTTTCCATTTCTCTGTGGGCGGTACATACATACAGATACAGTTACATACATACATGCATATGTGTGTATACACACACACACACACACACACACACACACACGTTTGCCTTATCTCGAGCTCATGCTGTCTCTGCCTATTTTTACTACCTGAAGAGGCGATAGAAGAGCTAGTGGTGAACTCAGAAGTGGGATGAAGATCACAGATGAGCGGGACTTAGGGGTGTCTCCACTGAGTGCCAGTGAGGGCAGTGATTTGTCCAGCCTCCTCACTTCCTCCTTGGCTCCCCACTGCACCACCTTCTGGTATCTACCCTCTCCCTGACCAGCCTTCTTGAACTGACCTGAATCTCTCAATTTTGGTGGTTGTGACAAGGTGGCTTTTAGAACTGTTACTAATGCCTGCTTTTTTCTTTCTCCTTACCAGAGCAATCAAATGGTTTCTCCAGAATTTTTGTTTCTTCATTTATCTTTATTTTTTTGAGCTCCTCTAAACCTTAAGAACTTCCTCCATGATTTCTGCCTCCAAAATTGTCTGAATGTTTGGGGGTGTTCCCCAGGTGATTAGATGATAAAGTAGAGTTACTGTCATCTGGGCTTTAGGCTTCTGGCTGGCTGACACACCATAAAATTCTACACATTAAAATTCCAATAATTTATCTTTTGCACAGCTCTGTTAACATCTGTAGGGACACTCCATACAGATGCAATTTATAAATTGGAAAGAGACATAAATAAATGTTATGAATGTTAGTAATATGCTGCCTTACTTTCTTTTAATGAGCTTGATACACACAACTGAGGCAAGGCTAAATACAGATATTTCAAAGGTTGTAATAGTAATTTGATGTGTTCAATGGCTAATATTCTCGTTTTAGTGAGCATACACTAACTTAGGGCTGGGAGGGCTTAAAAAATAATATTAAGTCATACACTTTTTTGCGTGTTGTTTTTTCTATCTCTTTTCCAATTTGTACAGGAACAGCTTGATGGTGGACCACTTCATCCTAGTAAAGAAAAGGAATGTTACATTATGTAATTTTAGACCAGAGTTAAATAGAAAAGAAGTACAATGTGTAGAATTCTTATCTTCCCTCTACTGTCTAGGGTGCTTTAATTATTTCATTTAATACTCACAGTGACCTTACAAGACATGGTTTGTAACCAGTTTAAAGAGGAGGTAGCTGAGTGTAACGAATACTGTCTGTTCCCTTTATGGATGTCCACCCATCTTTCTGGGTTTGCGGGGGTTGGCTCATGCCTGTTTTCCTCTCCATAGGATCGCCACTGGCTCAGCAGACCTGTCTTCTCAAGGGATAGGGAATGCAGGGAAGGGGGCAGCTCTCTGTGACCAATGACTAATTGATGTGGTGATACCACGGCCCATCCCCCCTGCCTCTGGGTGGAATTCACAGTCTAGAGATTCCCACAGGATCAGGTTGAGACCAGTATTTTCCTGAAAACACATTTTGGCCTAGTTTCTTCCCCAACTTTCCTGACATTCCTATCAGATTCCCCTTAGAGACCTCCCTCAATGAGTATTTGTCTGAATACTAGAAACTCTGCTTCTAGGGAACCCTAAGACTTGTGCTAAGAAAGCTTAAATAATTTCCCCAAAGTCACGCAGCTAGGAAGTGGTAAGGCCGAGATGAAAAGCTAATTTTGGCTAGTACCACTTTTCACTATGCCCTGTGGATTCACAGAAGGTTCAATTTTAGCCTCAAGCCACTTATGTACAGGGCAGGCATTATGAAACAGCCCTTCCTGCCCAAGGATCACACTGGACTTTGGTGCCTGGGGTAATACATGCATGGAGGTTGAACACATCATGGCAGTGAAGTGAATTTATCCCGGGGATCTCGCTCAGTCCAGGGGCAGGTCCAAATTTTGTAAGGCTAAGACTCTTAAGATTTGTCAGGGGGCCTCTCTAAGATAAAGAGTAAAGAATTATAAATGCTAAATAGGTACAGGGCCTTGGAAGAGGTTCATGCAAGTGAGGGGCCTGAAGCTTTAGCTTTGTTAGGCTCCTTGTAAATCTGTCTCTGCTGAGGTACTATGTTCCAGGTAGCAGCTGGGCACGTCGTGTTTGACTGCTCTAAGACCCTCAAGGAAAAAGTGGTCAAAGTGAATCGTAATTGTCATTTAAGCCAATGAGTCTCAGATGTTGTTTCTAAACCAACTCTAGGGGTGTCTGGGTGTCTCGGTAGGTTAAGTGTCTCACTCTTGATTTTGACTCAGGTCATGATCTCACCATTCATGGGATCAAGCCCCACATTGGGCTTTGCACTGACAGTGGGATTCTTGGGATTCTCTCTTCTTCCCTCTCTTTCTGCCCCTCCCCCACTCACGCATGCTCTCTCTCTCTCAAAAATAAATAAACTGTTAAAAAGGTAAAATAATTCTAGGTTATTTAAATTGTTTTGAGAGTTATGTATTTTTCAAAATAAAATGAATTTTAATTATTTCCTAAAACATAAATGCATAAACAAAGTCTTAGTCACTTTCATGGGGAGGAGAAAGTAAAGTGAAATCACACAGATAAGGGTAAAGTTATACAAATATATGCAAGAGGTTAGGACATTTGGTTGCTCTTCAAAGAAGTCACTGTGTTTGTGACATCCAATTCTAATGTAGAAAAAAATTCTTAGTGAGGTCTTTTCCCTGGGCCAGGGCTCCAAGTTGGAGAGATGCTGTCAAACACTCTTAAAATTTTTTGTGAATTCCCAGGGCCCAGGTTTAGTTTGATTAGATCAGTCAAAATGCTGAATATTTCAGTTTGTGTGATGCTACCCCTCTTTGTCAAACCTGTGTAGTTAATCTTGATAACCATGCATTTTTATGTCCACAGAGGAACAATGTTTAAATATTTATGTAAGTAACACACCTTTAGGTTGACCTGATATTCCAACAGTTCTTCTAGTTCCTTCTGCTCCTTCAGTAATTGCTTTTGCTTAGATGCCAAATCTTCCCGTAAATTTTTAATTTCTAATTTCTTCTGCATTGTTTCCTTACGTAATTCTTCAGTGCTTTCTCTCAATATTCTCATCTTCTTCTCCATTTCCTTAAAAGTCAGGAAAATTATCAGGTTATATAGAGCCTGAGCAAGTATCTGTCTACCTAAAAATCAAATTAAAAATAATTTTACTCACCATTTTGATTATATTTGTTTTGAGTTTCACAAATGACTTCTTCCAAAGTTAGATACAAAAATGACTTCTGACATCTTCAATCAAGGCATGACAGTTGTACTTCATGTATTAAACACTTTACATTAGATTCAAACTCTTTTTTTTTTTTTTACTAGTGGCTCCTTTCTATCCTGTATTTTATTTTATTTATTTTTTTTAAGATTTTATTTTAATCTCTACACTCAACATGGGACTCAAACTCACAACCCCCAGATAAAAAGAGTCACATACTCTTCCAACTGAGTTAGTCCGGTGCCCCTCTGTCCTATATTTTCAATGTGTCCTTTTTCTGAGTTAATTTTTATTTCATACCAAAAAAGCATGAGTGAAAATTTCCAGCCCATTTTCTAGTAGCTTTGTGATTTGACATCAGATGCAAACCATCTTTGACTATTGGGCTTCTGGTTCACCTGAATCCCACATGAGAATTAAAGACTGAGGAGTTCATATTTGGAAAACCCAACCCTTTGTGCTCCTTAATCCCCCTCTTTCTAACCCATTCATATTCTCCCCAAAGGCCCTCCACTCCAGACTCAACACATCTTTGTTCCCTTGCCTGATTATTTGGGGAGTGTTTGACTTATGGGAGAGAAGCCTTGTACTCAGAAAATCTACACATTATTAATGACTGAGCGAATGGATCCATTTAGCCTGCTCTGGGTTTTCTACATATCTCCACCCTCCAATGCTGATGAGAGAGGGTAAAATTGGTGATCCTATGGTCTGGAACTAAAATCCAAAATTCTTTTTCCCATAAAATCTGTGTGGTAAATGGTAGGTAGGCACTTATATAATAATGTGTATTTTATATGCTATATATGTATATGTACATATCTATACTCATACATATACACATGTATAAAAAAGTAGTATTTTACTCTATGACAACCAGGTTTTTTTGCCTTGGAATGAAAACACCAACAACATGCTTCTGAAATATAACCATTCAGAAGGGGTTAACAGTGCAGAATGTAGTGACATTTCTCTTTACTTTGTGTGATAGATCACAAAAAATGTGATCTCACAAAAATGGACTCCCAATTCCTCCTGTTCCTATAGACATTTGTCATTCTTATCATTAAAAAGTAGAGCTCAGAGGAGCCTGGGTGGCTCAGTCATATAAGCATCCAACTTCAGCTCAGGTCATGATCTCATGGTTAGTGAGTTGGAGCCCTGCTCAGGCTGTGTGCTGACAGCTCAGGGCCCGGAGCCTGTTTAGGATTCTTCCTTTCTCTCTCTCTCTCTGGCTCTTACTGTCTTTCTCTCAAAAATAAATAAACATTATGAAAAAAAAAAGTAGAGCCGGTTTCTCTATCCCTTGATTCTAGACTTAGCCATGTGACTTGCTTTGACCAATGGCGGATTACAAAAGCAGAGGCTTGAAAGGTCTTCTGCTTTGGGGGTCTGCCATCACTTGAGGCTGTTTTTTTTTTTTGAGGCCGGAAACCCTTCCACTACTATGTGACTGGTGACATGTGATCTTAGACCAGCTAGCCTGCCAACTGGCTGACAGATGAATGAAGCCATCTTGGACCACCCAGCCCCAACTGAACCAGCTCAGACCAGGAAACCTCTGTGTAAAATAAGAAATGTTGGCTGTTTTAGGCCACTAAGTTTTGGGGCAGTTTGTTATGCAGGAATGGATAAGTGGTACATCTCCTTTATAAAAATGTCTTATAGTAAGCTTGAGATGTTCAAGAAGCTCTGAGGGTAATAACTATGCAAAAATAATGTTTTTAAGTGCTAACCACAGACACCCCCCCTTTTTTTCTAAAAACAAAGCAGATATTGTCCAACTAAACACAGCCTATATTAGATGCCAAATAGCTAAGCCTGTAATAGGCATCACTATGTTTATTCCAGAAGTTATTCCTTTCAGCATTGTCCATAGTTAAGACTTTTGGATCTTTCAAATGTCCCAGGGTATGGTTGTTGTGATAAACATTAATATTTATCAAAAGGGATATTTGAATCCAGTTGTATTAACAAACTGTAGACCATCTAAGACTTACTCCTGGCTTAGGTATCTTCTCAAATTCCTTTATTATGAGGTTTTTTTCTTCTGTTAAGCTGTTAAAAAAAAAAACAAATTTGACAAAGTACAAAAGAGTAAGCTATTTCTGCAGTAATAACTTTCTATTTTCTCTTAGAACGCACTTCCTGTGTTTGTTTGCCAGGGAACCTGGTGTCCGTTCTTTACGATGGCTTCAGTGACTCCCGGTTAGGTGCTTCCTCCCCAGTCCTCCCACAACACTGCGTATACCAACCCATTAGAACAGTTATCTTATCGCATTATAGCTACTTGGTAGCAGGCCCTTCCCCACTAGACTCTGACTCCTTCCAGGCAGGCTCTGGGTCTTTTCTTTTCTTTTTTTTTTTTTATGCTACTTGCAATGAACCAGTGCCTGCCTGGATTACTGCAATAACTTCCACAAGCTCCATCAAATAAGCAGATCTCACGAGCCAGTAGATCTGGGAAGTTGGAGCAAAACATGCACACCAGCTTTTATTTTTATGAATTTTTATTTGCAATAATGTAAATTAAGGTTAGTATAATAAGTACGTACCACATGGAATTTAATGTAGGTTAGCTGGGACACAAGTTGAAGTTGAACTTTCAGAGTTTTGAATACTTAGGCCTTTGCTGTTAGAGCTTGCATACACATTGACAATATTTAACTTCCAACCTATTGATCCTACACCTCACGCAGGCTGCCACTAGGGGGTGGTGGTGTGCTGTCATATTTTGATTGTAAAGGCCACCTTAGCGTCCCTGAGTTGGAAAAATGGTGACTTGAACCTCTCCCACAAGATAAGACTCACAGTCTTTCCTTTAAGTAAATATAAAATAATATATTTTTTAAAGAAACATAAGATGGCTAATTCTTTAGGACATTTTAAACTAATTACGTCTCTATCATGTGTTTTTTATTAAGAAAAACTGACTTTCCCTTTAAGAGATGTGTATTTTTCTATTTATAAAGAAGTCTATCATTCATAATCCCATCCCATCACAGTTGATCATTTTCATTTTCCTTGTATCTTTTAATTAAATTATATAAAATGTGTATATATGATTGAATCCATTTTTACCTAACATGTAATTAAAGTAGCTTCCCAACTGCAAAACAGTCTTTGTAATTAGTAATTTAATAGTTAGTTTCAAGGTTTCCTAGTGGGTGAGTGTAGCATAATAAAACAATCCCAAACATTGTCTATCTTTTACTGAACTTATATCAGGTAATTTACATGCATTTCTAAACTTCAGAACTTACTACATAGGTATTATCTTCATTGTACAAATGAAGAAAACTGAGGAGTTAAGCACCTTTTCCAAAGTCACACAATCAAAACTAAACTGACATTCAAACCTAGAAATTGAGCTCTGACTCCACTGTGCTTTTCAGTATCAAGCTGCCTGCCTGTGGAACACATTATTATTTAAATATTCCACTATTTTTAGAATTTAGATTGCTTTCAGTTTTTTACTCTTAAAAGTAATCATGTAATAAATATTCTTGTGCATGAATGTCTTTTTTCCCCTCCTCTGGATTCTCCTTTTTGCAGGGCATTACTGAGATAAAGAAAAAATACTTTTGTGCCTCTTGATATATATCAACTTCTAACCTTTTAAACTGACATCAAACTTTAAATCTGACATTTTCAGCTTTCCTGACTAAGGGGTGCTTCAGTGTCAAAGCTACTCAGGATTTATTTCTTTTCTGCAGCAAGAGAGTCCTAACTGAAACCATGTCCTCAAAGGTTTTTAATTTTAAGGACTTGGGAGTGAAGAGACAATGCAGGAAACCCTGTGTGTGGCCATGTGCAAGAGATATCTTTCACTATCAGTAGTAGAACCAGTCTGAGTCAGTGGAAGTTGCAAGAGGTAGATTTTTGAACCAATACAAACCATAAACATCTAAAAATCAGGCTGTCCAAAGCTGGAATGGGCTGCTGTGGGAGGCTGTGCGCTCCCGTCAGAAGGTGTTTAAGCACAGACTGGTGATCACTGACAGAAGACTCGGGTGGATTCTAACCTTGTAGTCAGGGCTGAGAACTACTTTGGGAGCCAACAGTTCTTAAAACTCTGACATTTCTCAGAAGTATGCTGGGATCTTGTAAAAACTGCAAATGCTGCCTTGGGTGAGAAGGCTTGGAATCATTAGTTTTAAGGTTGGATCTGCCTTTCAACCAAGTTTCTCAGGTCCTTCTCTTTTAGATATGAAGACCACACCCTGCAAAACCTGTTCTAAGCTCATTCTGCTCTTGGTTGCCACAAGGAGAGCAGGAAAGATTTAAAAAGTGTTTAGGAAGTGAAATCTATTCCAGCGGTGAATTTTTCCTTACTACTAATCCTAATGACCTGTGTGCCCCTGTGTCGTAGCTAACATTCCAGAATTCCAGATGCTTTGCTAAAATACTCCCTCTGTTCCTTTCTTGCTGCATCTGTTTGTTTCTTGGTTCCAACTTTGCTGTTACTATTGGACTAAGAATGGCAAACGGCTACCAAGCCCGGATTACACCACAGGGATGGCAGGGACCAGCTTGGAATAATGAGCAGTCACTAAGGCCAGGGTCACATTGGGATAGCCCTGCACGTGAACAGCATGAGTGCCCCCACTCTCCATGTCCCTACCTGTGACAGACAGCAATAACTCGCCATGGCCTTGTTTCCCCACCTGGCCAAGACTTGTCAGAATGCATCAGATTTAGTATCAGAGACACAATTTACTTGCTGTCCAAATCTGAGGAGTTATTAGAAAGCAGGGAAGCCCCAAAAGGTAACAAAGTGAAGGCAAGGAAATGGTTGAAAAGGATATTGGAAAATCTTTTCAGAGGCTGTTTTTAGAAAGATAATGACTTCGGGGCGCCTGGGTGGCGCAGTCGGTTAAGCGTCCAACTTCAGCCAGGTCACGATCTCGAGGTCCGTGAGTTCGAGCCCCGCGTCAGGCTCTGGCCTGATGGCTCAGAGCCTGGAGCCTGTTTC